TACGTAACAGCAATGTAAGAATACATAGTACGATAAAGAGAGATTGCCCTTTCCCAAGCACCGTGCTGGAAAGTAGCTTCAGCACGCCCACCTGCATATCTATTGGGAGTCTTGAAGGGACCACCAGCAACGACATGATCAGTGAGGTCATACGCAGTTCCCTCCATGTGATCTCTGTAGAAGCGCCTCATAAAGTCAATGGTAACGGGTACATCTGGCTCCACTGAGAAGGGATAGGTTGGATGATCCCATTCGACACCAAGAGTTGGATCGAGATTCAGCGAAGGGGCGAAAAGGGAAAAACCTCTCCACACACGACGACCGGAGTAATAAGGATTGTTGTACTCGCTGACACTATACGTGGCAGTAAAGTCCAGAAGACCCTCACCATTCCACCAACCAAGTTTCAAAGCGATATCGAAGATGTTGTCAGAGAACATAAAGTTGTCACCATCACTTGGATCGATCTCTCGAATAACAAAGACATTCGGGACGATGGTAGCATGGCCTTTGGGGACTCTTTCAGCAGCCCACACTGCACCTTCAGCGGTATCATCAGGTAGAATATGGAATACCCATACCTCGGTACCATCGGCGATTGTTAATGCCTCGCCAGCCTCTTTAACGCCAATAGAACCGTAGAAGCCATGCTCCTCAGCGAGCTTACCCATTGTCTGTATGGCACATCTAGCAGTGGAGCAGACCTCGAGGGCGATATCAGACAATTCACCCACCCAGAACAAGGCGCCGCTACCGTTCGGGCCGTCTCCCTTCGGAACAGAACTCAAACGTCCACTGCAGCTGCTCTCACCCATCGATAAACCGGCTTCATTCATAACACCATAAGCGGCATCCCAATACCCGTAAGTCGTCCCTTCCGGCATGTCAATGTAACCGATAGGTACACTCGGCTTTTGGTCGGGAGAGGTGGGAGCATAACTCGGGGCTCGAGAGGCATCAACAATTCTCGGGTAGTTTTGAAACTGTTTGTAGACAGCCCTCTTCTCACCAGGTC